TTAGAGAAACTTTTGATTTCTGAAAATACTCATAACTTTGTCAATTCCGGTCCAAGACGCTCGATTTTGGGTGCATTGGTAAGCTGGAATTGTCCTCCGAATAGTTCATAATGGGACCACACAGCATGCTGGTCTGCTAGAAAAGATGTCATCTTTTTTATACATTTGTACATACAGATCTATAGAATGATTACCATACTAGCTACATAGTTCTTGATCTTATGAAAGTTCGAGAGGAAGAGTTCAGCTTTCTAATGCACTTAAAATCGAGTGTTTTGAGGCAGATTTGACAAAGTTATAGGCGTTTTCAGAAATCAAAAGTTTCTCTAAACACTAATGAGCCAAATTTCAGTGCTTGTTACAGGTTGTAATTGGATGATTATGAAGGTTTATTGTTAGTACACTTATCAATACGGACTGTAAAAAGATGGAAAAATATGGAGAGTGAAGCTCTCACCGCAGGGAACAAGATGCATATTTTTATTTATTTTTTGCCCTTCTCCTGGCCTCTCAATATTTTTGTGTATCAATAATTTAATTTTCTGCCCAGAAAATATTATATTTTGTGTAGTGTTTTGTGGTCTAAAAACTTCAATAACTTTTGCAATTCTGCTCCAAATAACTCGATTTTTGGTTCATTCAAAAGCTGAACTATTCTCCTTCACACTTGATAATGTTAGTAAGGTGCTATCTAGTCATTTAAACACTCTATATATGTTCAAACAGTTCTGCATGAAGTGCTCTGTAGGATCTTCTTTAGACCAGCTACAGATGTGATGTCTCAATGAAAAATGTAGAGGAAAGGCTCACCTTTTTAATGCACTTCAAATCGAGTGATTTAATTCAGAACTGCAAAAGTTATTGATGTTTGAAGATTCCAAAACCCTGTCTTCAAAGTCAAGGGCCAAATTTCAGGTATTGTTACAGGTGGGTTTTTGATGATTCTCAGCCTTTATTGTTAGTACATTAACCAATATCTGTGTGTAAAATACAAAAAAATACTCGTCATGACGCCACAACATCTAGGAACAAGGTGCATATTTTTTCAGATTTTTAGCTCTCTTCCTGTTGCCTCAGGACTTTTCTATGTCAGTAGTGGTAAAGATGACATTTTGTGTAGTGTAAGGTGTGTTGATTGTATAGAGTCTTTAATTGCATGGTACATCTAACCTTCTATCTAACACTTATGGACAGAACTTTCCAAACCCAATCACAAAAACTCAACCACTCTACAAAAAATATGACTTTCGAACTATCCTCAACCCACCTTGTGAGTGATGACCGCTTCATGCCCTTTTTCTGATGGTTGCTCTTACTTATAATAGTTCAATAAATCTGTCATATATAGGAAACCAACCGAAATGGTGATTTCACTCCATATGACGGAAGGTCATTGATTGAGTCATACGTTTATACATCGGAATCGTCCTACGCATCAGATCCCCGACCCTCCAAGCTCCACCGCAGATTGCCAACAACTTATTCTCCTATACAAACCGCTAGGACCAGAGCTACCTCGGATACTCTGGACAGAATACTATTGACCCAAGCTGGACATTTGGCAGCTGTATGCGAGGTTTGGCGTTTGAAATTTGCTTCAAGTCCATTGGTTCCCTCAATCCAAAAAGAAACAAAGCTCGTCACGCCCGTCACCAGAAGTCGTGCTACTTCTGGCGCTCTCGAAGGCATTTTGGCACGGCAGTCTTTTCAGTTGAAATCCTTAGGCGAAGTATGGAGAAATCGATTCTTGACAAGTCCATCAACATCATTAAACAAAAAAGAATTAAATGATGGGATGCCTGAGTCTGAACCCGAAAGTCGAGATGATTTCAAATTTGGAGAGATGGTGAAACATGGACACTATAAAAGGGATCATGGATTGAAAGAGAGGGTGTTTAGATGGATGGACAATTTGCCAGATTCCTTCGATGATGTAGCTCAAGAAATCGACTTTGATTTTTAAGTTGTTTTTGTTTCCTTGATTGTTATTCCTTTGTTTCTTGTTTTTGGATATCATTGATGTTTTCTTCGATAGTCCTGATTTTGCTTGTGTGTGTTTGCTTGTATATCAACATTTCTCGATTCCTGAAGTTCGCTTATCAAGTTCTTGAGTGTAGTTTTTTTGTAACTCGGATACTTTTCATCTATGTTTGTTTTACCATTTTGGTTCCGCTTGTGCATTCTGATATCAAAGAGCCATTTCTTTTTGATGATCATATCTTTTACCAATTCCTATAGACTTCATTTTCCCAATTGTGCTTGGGTCACCATGGTTCCTGGACGGTTTTGTGGAGAGGAACTGTGCATACATACCAATCAAAACTGATCTGTAATCCTTATGATGTTTCCAATAGAGGTTCTAAACACGAACCCAAACAGATGTTGCCATTTTTCGGAATTAGCCAATCTGACTGACTTATCCATCAAATGATATGCACAAGCAACATCTTGAGAGATATGCGACAAATCAAAGATACTAAGTTGGTGATCAGTCTAAGCAACACCCTATCAATTCTCAGAAATAGGAGTGATCTGAGTTCACAAAGCCAAAATCTGTTCCAACTTTATCACACAGTAGTAGAGAGTACGTAGCTATATGCGCTTAAAATTGAAACGTTTAGGAAAGAATCACAAAAGATACTGTTATACAAATTTTTATTTTGACAAGTTTAAATGAATTGCCGGGAAGAACTATAGACCTTCCAAACCACAAGCATGATAGTATTTGAATTATTTAAAGTCAACTTGAGATTGAAATTTAGCAATGGAAGTGCATTGGATTATGTAAAAGCTTCTCTTTTGCGTTCTCCGCAACCTTACTGAATCTGATTCCTTTAGATCTACATATACCTTTCAATCGTTTCAGTGAAGCAGGGTCAAGTGGCCATATATCATAATCTATGTGCAAAGCTACCGTCTTGAGATTGGGGAACACATGGCTGGTGAGAAAGTCAGAAAGTTCTGATACTTCCTCTGACTCCATATCTGACAGATAATCAAAAGCATCGTAGTTTGGAAGTTGATAGACCTTGAGATGACGAAGAGTTTTGCAATCGGCAAAGGAGCGAATAAAGGGGCAATCATCATTAGGCCATATGGTCAAATGTGTTAAAGCCGGTAAAGAAATTAGGTAATCGTCTGGGTCAAATATTGGTAGGTTATGATCTATGTCGCTGACTTCATTATGAAATTTGATATCGAAATGAGTAAGTTGAGGAACCCAAGTTTCGATAAACCAGGGCATATCTGATATGCGGAGAGGCAGGCAATCGTGAATGACAAGATTGACTAATTGAGGCGGTGACTTATGGTAAGCCCAACCTCTATCCAACAACTCTACATCCTTTAGAATAAGCTGCTTGAGATTTGTGAGATTAGAAATACAGGTAGGAAGGTTTTCGTACTCTGCGCCATCACCCATCAAAACATGCGCGAGCTCGAGTGATTCAAGTAATGGGAGATGTTTGATGGGTTCAATGAAACAATTTGCAAGTATCGCTGTGCGCTCTGGAGCTCGAATCGTGAGATGTTGAAGACGTCCAAAACCGGAAAACAACGTGATCAAATTGTGGCTAAGGTTCAACATTTCTTCTTTTACAGGGTCACGCCCATCGTCCGGACAATTTAGACGCAGCGTGTTAAGCGATGGGCAATGATGAAGGACCTTGGTGAGGGTTTCTGAACCGAGACCATATAAGAAGCGCATTGGATTGTACCTATCACTAGCCTTTGTCCTGCGATACCCGGTGATGTCTAGATTGTCAGAATGGATGCTATCGACTTCCTCATACTCCTTATTCTGCTCGATGAACTTAATTTTGCTTCCACTAGAAGATCGGAGTGATAACCGATTTCGATTTCTCTCTTTGCCTGGAGAAATTTGAAGCCATTCCAATCTTAACCCTACATCTACCACTTTGACATGGGATCCGTGTTTTGGCAGAATTTCCTCATACCAGAAGGACATTGGAGTCGATATTTCAGAGGAAAACTTGAGAGACTAGAGTGCCGCAGTTGGGAACGGTCGAAGTAGCGAAGGACATCGTATAATGATCAGTACATATCAGTGATCTGTCTGAATAGCTTCCATGTGCCAGATTCAACTCACCTGCCATATTATGGGTTGGCAGATAGAGTAGAACCTACGATTGACAACGGAGAATGCTTGAAAGCTAGTCATGATCGGGGATTCGGGTTTGTGTTGATAGACCCATACTGAAGTCTTCTTCCCTGAATCAAGGGTGATTCCTTGATTGATTTTCTTGAGGTGATTCATTTCAGCTTTGATGGGGTCATCGAGAAGGTATTCTGCGATTTCTAAAAGGATCTCATCTGGTAGGCGAGAAAGGAAATCTTCCTGAGCGCCCGATGCTGTTTTGTTTGCAAGAAGTTGCTTTTTCGCTCGTCCTGATGTTTTTTTCGCTGGTCCTGATTTCTTTTTTGCTCGTCCTGATTTCTTCATTGTGATTGATAGAATACCGAGATGAAATTGGAAAGATAGAAAAGAAATGAAGGTGTCGAGAAGATAGACGCTCAAAGGTGTACATAGTCCAAAAGAGTTGATCGAGTCCAGGTTAGCCCTGAGCGTGGGGTCCGCCAACCCTCTCAAACGCATACAACATCACCCACATCCAACACTCAAAACCTATACCCATATTACTTTACCTTCCAAAAAAAAGTACTTATCAGGGTACACGATTACTGATCTCACAACTCTCAGTCTCATTGCAATTTACGTTTGGAGTCAGACTGAAAAGCGAGTCCTTATCTTTACCATTGGAAGTGGTGTCACTGGAAGATGAATTTGCTTCGTTTATGAAGTTGTAGTACAACAATTACGCCAGGCAAAGAGCACAGAGAGATTGCGAAGAATTGGATTGATTGCTAATCTAAATTGCAGAAAGTCTCATGAGCTACTGTAACATGGAAAAAGTAATTCTATTCCCTTAGACTTGCAGAATTCGTCCAATGACAACAATATGGAAGATGAAGTTGAATCAAGTGGAAAGACTCCGGGGTTTACAGGTAGATCTATCCATCTGAGCTCAGGAAAATCATTCTCGGTGATAAATTCGGAAAATTCAGATAGTCCTTCCAATGAATCAGCTGGCATGAAATCTGAGACATCTGACCCTTCATTGTCATAGTCAATGCTCCAAAAGTAATGAAACGCGATTTGACAAAGCTCTTTGCACTCTGAAAAGCAGTGGATATAGTGAGATTTGGAATGAGGCCATATGTCTAAATGAGTTAAAGCCGGGAATGAAAATTTATTGAACTTGGGTTTCAACTTGGAAATGTCCTCTTGCAAAATGCCGAAAGGATCTTCAAAAATTCGGAGTTCTAGAGAAGTGAGGTGAGGTGCCCAAGAACGCAAAAACCGAGGCATCCCTGCTGACGGAAGACGCATACAATCGCGGATTGTGAGACTCTCTAGACAAGGCGGACCTTCATGACATCCCCCAGAGCTGTCCCAGAAACGAACTAGATCCATAGTCAGACATGTGAGATTTTTGAGATTGTAAAGAAAGGTAGGATCGACAATCGCAAGATTTGCAAGCTCGAGCGATTCAAGCAGAGGGAGATGTTTGAGGGGTTCAAGGAGATATTTTCCTGTTGCGGTTGACCCTGAAGGACCTTGTATTTTTAAGTTTTGAAGATGGCCGAGTTCACGAAATAATGAGGTCAGGTTGTGACACAAGTTATTCAATGCAACTGGAAAGAGAAACTCTGGCGTCGTATCCGCGCAGTTGAGATGAAGTTCGGTAAGTTTCTCACAATGAGAAAGCACTTTGACAAGGCTTTCGGGACAGAGACCGGATGATGAGGGCGGGCCTTCGTCGCCTTCATCTTGCACGAAGCCCCGGACAGCTAGGTTATCACAATGAATGTCATCGACATCGCGAAAATCCTTATTTTCTTCTAAAAACTTGATTCGGTTTACATGAGAAGATTGCGGTGAATAGCGACATTGGTGCTTGTCTCTAGTAGCTTGTTTGATAGAACAGGCTTTGGATGGTATCTTGAACCATTGCTTGTTTAATTCCACAGTTATTGCATCGACATGAGATCCATGTTTGGGTAAGATTTCCTCCAGCCAGAAGGACATCGGACCTATCAGCGGAGAAGGAAATTCAAGATACTGGGTCATCACAGTAGAGCAAGGTGAAGGTGGAAAAGGATAGATTGTAAGCTCATTAGTATACATTGGCAATCTCTATTTGCAGCTCAATTATGCTTTATAAATCTCACTAACATCCCATATGAAAGGTTGACATAGAGAATAAATCCTTTGATTGACAACAGAGAAAGACTGAATGCTAGTTAATATTGGAGATTCTGGGCGGTGTTGATAGACCCATAACGTGGTCTGCTTTCCTGATGAAAGAGTAATTGTCTGCTTGCGCTTCTTATGGCGGTTCTCCTCGGATTCGTGTTCGTTCCAGTCCTCGAGGAGGTATTCTATGATCTCAAGTAAGAGCTCGTCTGGTAAGCGGCAAAGTAGATCTTCATGGTTTGCAATCGATTCTCGAGAGTTTGCTAGTCCTCGATTCTTCATTTTATTCGTTTAATTCTTGAGCTCCAAGGTCTGCCAAAATCGTAACCTGTTGGTCTCTTTCTGAGTAACTCGATGCGATTCTGCAGAAATCTCGTGAGACTGATCGTATGCAGTTAATATCTTGATAGAAAAACTGAGAGGCGAAAGGTAGATTGATTTGAGGTTTCATCTACAATTGTGACTTCGCTTTATGGTTCTCTGAAGCTGGTAACACCGCGGGAATCAATAGGCTCAAAACTTACGTGGTGGGCGCATGGTTTGGATGTAGGGCGCGCTCAGCGCGCCTTTCTGTATCTGTGGAAGGCGCACCTTTTGAATATGTATGTAGGCAAAATCAAAAAAAAAATATCGAAAAATATTGAAAGGGAGAACACAATGATCATTCCTTTTGAATCATTGTGTTACTTAAATAAACAATTACAGTGATATAAAATTAAATAAAGCAATCAGGAGATGCACTCATGCTTCCTCATTGGTTGTTCATAACCAAACCATAGGTATTCCGCTACTGGTGGGATGTCAGATGACACGAGTGAGAAGAGTCAGTTTTTTCAATGGCCACTCTGGAATTGGGGAGCAGAAGCAATGGGTGGAGTCAAAGCAGATGACGTTGTGACCAAATTGCAACAGTTGATCTCTTTTCCAGGGAGAAAAGAAGGCAATTTGGACCTGTTTGTTGGCGCGGTTGATCCGCTTGTGTGTACGCCAACCCTTGTTAGAGTCTGAGAGCTTGCCCATCCACAGTGATATTGATTTGTTAATTTCGTGTTCAAGGTGGTGGATCTTGTTGGCGTGCTATGTGGGCTACTTTCTGATAATCAATGTTGAAGGATTTCAGGATGATTCCGCTAGTACAGTTGGGTTCCTAATATAAAGGGCATTAATAACAACACTTATCCTTGAAATGCAAATGCAAATGTGGAACTTACAGGAAATAAGTTGAGGCAGGAAAGTAGATGTTCAATGGAACACCATGACAAACCGTCACTGACCCGCTTGCAGATTCACTTGCGGGCGACGGCAGGTGTGCACATAGAACACATGTCCTCAATTGAGCAAGGGTTGTGGTTTTTGTGTTGCCAGAACCACTCAAGCTCAAGTTTGCCTTCAAGAGTTTTGTGAATGCTGAACTAAGCAGGACAGTGGACTTTTAAAGGACCAGTGGATTGGCAAGTTGCATGGGTGACAGGAAGTTGTTTCTGTTGAGAAGGGTTGCTGTAAGAATTACATAGGAATTTCTCTGACCATTTGCATCTACAAACGGGACCACTGTGTTAAACAACTGGCAATTTGGTGGCACCGGTTTGTTGGAGAGAGGTCTTCTAACACTGTCCATTAAACCTTTAGCCCTGAAATACCCAATGCAAGGATGCCCATTGCAAAAATTACATCATTTTCAATTTTCTCTTTGTGAGGGAGGGTGAGTCAAACAACAGAGTCAGGAAACCATGGTGGTGAGTGGGAGGTGTCACAGACAAAGATGTTTGAGTTAGAATTGAAGTCAAATCCAGGTGTAGCTGGAGAAACGTGAACCAGTGGAGACAGGAGCCATGCAAGGGTACAGCTCAAGCCCTGTAATAATGGAGGTGAAACAGTGAGGATCTCTCTTGTCGTTTATCTGAATGAAGTCAGGATTGGGCTTGGCCTCAGAAGTGCTACAAGGATTGATTGGTGTCATTGGTTGAACACTATAGCAGATGACATGTCAAATGTAAAGTACAAATAATTCTATATAGTGTGTTGATTTAAGAACAAAAAACGGACAAGTTGTAGACAATCTTCCTTACAAGAGAATAGTCAAAATGGTGGAAAACAGTGAAGTCAAACTTTATCCTCATGGTAGCAGACTTTGTGGAGTAAACCTGATCAGTCAGAGAAGTGTCCTAAGGAAAAGAAAGGATAGTGCGGAGCAACCTCCCCCTTCATGGACCTCATTGTTGTACCACAATCCCAGCCACACACATCCGGAATTTGCAAGGTAATACAAGCTTCAGCTGAGGTTCTTTGCCTCAATGACAGGCATCTCCAGCCGCGCATCTGTGCGGCTCTCATCTCATCTGCTACAAACTTTATTGCCCAACACTCAGCGTCCAATCACATTTATAATCTCAAGTTGTGTTTTCAAAGACACTCAAAACAGAAAGGCCCCATCCACCAAGACACAGACGTAAGGAATAGATGATCCATGTGGGACAAATAAGACAAGATCCAAGTTTCACCAAGGTGTCAACCAATAAATTGTGCTATTGATTTGGGGCGGGCCCCTTTTGGAATCTCAAATTGACAAATCTGCGCGTCTTCACCAAATGCATCCAGATCTCACAACTTTCAGCTTGCACAACAACAGTAGAACTTTTCCCAAGTGTTGGTGATTTAATGCCAGGGTGTTGGGCCTTTGGGTGCCATCAATCAGTAATTGAGGGCTACATGTATTTCTTTTTATGTAAATAGGTCTTACATATTTCTTGCTATCTCTACTACATGTAATTAGCTGATTTATTCATGAGTAAGGCAATACAACCATTTGATTATATTTTGGACATCCAGAAAAATGAAAAACTTCAAATTCTAGTTTTAAATGGATTCAAATACAGCAAAGAATGTATCTTTTGTTTTTCAGTGGCAAACTTTGAAGTTTAATCTTCCTTAAGGTAGTAAAAACCTAGTTCATTCTTTCTCAATATCTGACATATAATGAAATTGTTGTATGCCATGGAATTAAACTTATCCAAGTCCTCCACCAACAACTTAGATAAGCTTACTGTCAAGGCAGCTTATGCCCTTTCTGACAAGTAATCTATGGCTTCAATGAAGATGTAATCCTTGCATGATCATTGCAGGATTTGTGTTCTCCATGCCATGGTTGTGCAAGCCACCACAGTATCTATCTCCCAAGCTAAAGGCCTCAAGGTATGATTCTTCAACATTGATGGATGATGACAAAGCACCAGATCATCCCTGGTCAATTTTGAAAAATTAGGTGACTGAAACTTGAAGGATAGTGGTGTGATCAGATTGATTGTTTACCAAGCAGATTACCAGCCCAATTCTCTTGAGTTTATCCCTTGCCCAATTTTTTTTCGACCTCCTTTTCTTCATCTCAATGACATCTGATCATAAGTTCCATTTTACAGTCAAACCCGCGCAAATGCATACCCGCGCAGGTGCATAACCCGTGATAATGCATAGAAAAAATCTAGAATTTTGATGCTTTTTACTGCCAAATTTGACAACAGAAATGCATAACCCGTCAAAATGCATAGCAAAAGTCTTCCACCCAAATTATGGTTTGCACGGGTTTGACTGTAATACTTTGTACTTCACTATTCCATTTCTCGTGGGTGTCTAACAGATAACGGTGCACTAGAGTGACCTCCAATTGTACGTGTAGGATTAGAACAATCCTTGTTCTCTTACACTCAGGTACTGTCCTACCACGTACACCTAGAAGACGGAGCCCTACAAAATTGGACCCTCATCCTACTTGGTTGTGGTTTGGGGGTGGTCCCGAAGGGTAAGAAGTGTAGGAGGGGTTGGACCGCGCCAACCCCCCTTCGATAACCCTTCTGGACGAGAACAGCCCTGAGAAGCAAAAGACTTCTCAACCCAGGAGGTGGGTGGGGACCGCGCCAACCCCCCTTCGATAACCCTTCTGGACGAGAACAGCCCTGAGAAGCAAAAGACTTCTCAACCCGGGAGGTGGGTGGGTTTTTAAAGCGAAGAAGATCTATCTATGAGGATCAGTGAGGATCAGAGAGATCTTGAGGAGCGGATGACGGAAGGAATATTTGGGTGGTGGAGTGAGAAGAGTAAAAACTCTGATTCTCCCTGTATCCACCACCCGAAACTCACTTGACCTGTGACATGTGTGCTTTGTCTGTCACAGGTTGCAACTTCCTCTATCCGCACCTCTGCTTTATTCACCACACGG